ACCAGCGCACTGAAGCTCTCGCTCTCTGGGCTTGTCGACTGTGGTGCCACCTCCGACTTCATTGACACGAACTATGTTGCTCGGAATGGCATTCCGGTCCGCACTCTTGATCAGCCGATTCCGGTTTTCAATGTCGATGGCACCCCCAATGACGCTGGCTCCATCAAACAGATCGCGGACTTGGTCCTGCGCTACAAGGGCCATGCCGAACGAGTTCAGCTGGCCGTCACCCATCTTGGCAAGCAAGACCTCATCCTGGGGTATTCCTGGTTGCGGAAACATAACCCAGAGATCGATTGGGAAACCAAGGAGGTCAAGATGACACGGTGCCCCCGCAATTGCTCGACCTGCCGTGAGGAAGAGCGGGTCGAACGGACCGAGTTGCGGCGACTCCGGTCGCTTCAGAAGCGTCTCCGCTCCGGCCCGTTCCCCTCGGTCTGCGCCATGGACCTTTCTGGGTCTGATGACGGAGACGATTCCGCCTCCGGTGACGACTCCGGCCTGCCTGATCTGACGCCGGACTCCGACGACGACGATGACGATGGTCAGCTTGAAGATGGTGACCGCATCTTCTACACCTCGTTCCGCCCCTCGGAGGAGATACGCTGGCAGTACTGTCTCGCAACGCCTGGCCGAAGCCTTCGCCAGGAACTCCGCCCCTCCGCCCTCCGAGATCCCGGACTGGGCTAAGGAGTTCCAGGACGTCTTCAACAAGGAGTCCTTCGACACGCTACCGGAGCGGAGAGCCTGGGACCACGCCATTGAACTCGTCCCCGACGCTAAGCCCACCAACTGCAAGGTGTACCCCATCTCGCCCCTCGAGCAACGCGAGCTCGACGCGTTCATCGAGGAAGGGCTTTCGACGGGCCGGATTCGCCCCTCCAAGTCTCCGATGGCGTCTCCGGTCTTCTTCGTCAAGAAGAAGGACGGCGGACTCCGCTTCGTCCAGGACTACCGTGCTCTCAATGCGATGACTGTCAAAAACCGGTACCCCCTTCCGCTGATCAACGACCTCATCAACCGGCTCAAAGGCGCTCGTTACTTCACCAAACTCGATGTCCGTTGGGGCTTTAACAACGTCCGGATCAAGGAAGGTGACGAGTGGAAAGCGGCTTTCCGGACTAACCGAGGCCTGTTCGAGCCCTTGGTGATGTATTTCGGCCTGACAAACTCTCCCGCGACGTTCCAAACGATGATGAATGACATTTTCCAGGACCTCATCCTCTCCGGAGACGTCATGATCTACCTTGACGACATCTTGATCGCCCATTCCGACCTCCGGAAACACCGGCAGATCGTTCAGGAGGTCTTGCGGCGACCCCGAGCACAAGTTGTACCTCCGAGCGGAGAAGTGCGACTTTGAAAAATCGTCAATCGAGTACCTCGGAGTCATCATCTCCCACAACCATGTCGAAATGGACCCCGTCAAGGTCGCAGGCGTCTCCGCTTGGCCGACTCCGGAAAACAAGAAGGACATTCAGCAGTTCCTTGGGTTCGCTAACTTCTACCGCAGGTTCATTCGGGACTTCTCGACCCTTGCGCGCCCTCTCTTCGTGCTCACCAAGAAGGACCAGCAATGGACTTGGGGCGACGCGGAGGCCTCCGCGTTCCAAGCGATCAAGGACGCGGTCACCTCGGAACCGGTCCTGGCGATTCCGGACGACGCACGGCCTTTCCGACTCGAGGCGGACAGCTCTGATTATGCGACGGGGCGGTTCTTTCACAATCCGCCCCGGACGGGAAGTGGCACCCTGTAGCATTCTATTCCAAAAGCTTAAATGATGTCCAGCGCAACCACGAAATCCACGACAAGGAGATGCTCGCGATCATCCGCGCACTCGAGGAGTATAGACACTTCCTCGAGGGCGCCGCGCACCCTGTCGAGATTTGGACTGACCATAAGAATTTGGAGTACTTCAGGAAGACGCAGCACCTCAACCGGAGACAGGCCCGGTGGTCTCTGTACCTCTCCCGGTTCGACTTCACGCTGCACCACAAGCCTGGCCGCGATATGGGTCGGCCTGACGCCCTCTCCCGGAGACCCGACCACGGAGTCGATTCCGACAACTCCGACGTCGTCCTTCTGCGGCCTGAACTCTTCCACGTCCGCGCACTCGAGGGCGTTTCCGTTTCGGTCCCGGCTCTGAACTCCTCCGCGACATCCGTGATGCCCTCTCCGGTGAGCCTGACCTGGAGGAGCCCGTCGCACTAGCGGCCCGGCAACTTCTTAAGGTTCAAGGTCAAGCTCGAGGCCCCCGCTCCTCACGTTCTGACGAATGGGCCGTCTCCGGCGGTCTTCTCCATTTCCGAGGGAAGATCGTCGTACCAAAGGACAAGGACCTCCGGAGACGCATCATCGAGCTCTGCCATGACACCCGAGTCGCCGGACACGCAGGTCGTTTCAAGACCCTGGAGTTGGTCTCCCGGAACTACTGGTGGCCTCAGATGTCTCGCCATATCGGCCGGTATGTTGCGACCTGTGACTTGTGCTGTCGCACCAAGGCACTCCGGAGACTGCCCCACGGAGAACTGCACCCCACGGAAACGCCCCGAACGCTGGCATACCGTCTCCGTCGACTTCATCGTAGAGCTTCCCGAAGCCCATGGGTACGACGCGATCATGGTCGTCGTTGACACCCTCGGAAAGCGCCCACTTCTCAGAGTGTCATACGACGGTCGATGCAGTAGGGGCAGCCCGTCTCTACTACCGGAATGTCTGGCGGCACCATGGGACTCCGGAGAAGTACGTCTCCGACCGCGGCTCGCAGTTCATCGCGGACTTCACCCGAGAACTTTGGCGTCTAATCGGCATCAAGCCCGCCACGTCCACCGCGTACCACCCGCAGACAGACGGTCAGACAGAGCGCGTCAACCAGGAGCTGGAGCAGTACTTGCGGATCTTCACCAACTACCAGCAGGACGACTGGGATGAGCTGATTCCGGCCGCGGAGTTCGCCTACAACAACCACGTTCACTCCTCCACGCAGCAGGTCCCCTTCATGACGGACACGGGACGGCTCCCGCGCATGGGCTTCGAACCCGGAGTCCGTTCCGCCATGGAGTCAGTGAACGAGTTCCGCGACCGGATCGCCACTGGTGTTGCTGAAGCCAAGGCCGCTCACTAAGGCCAAAGAGGAGTACAAGCGCTACTACGACCGGAGACGGACTCCGTCTCCGGAGTTTAAGGTTGGCGACCGTGTTTGGCTGGATGCCTCTGACATCAGGACGACTCGCCCCTCGGAAAAGTTCTCCCATCGCCGCCTTGGACCGTTCAAGATAGTCGCGGAGATCAGCAAAGGTGCCTACAAGCTCGACCTCCCTCCGCGCTACTCGAAGCTCCACCCGGTCTTCCCCGTCGTCAAGCTCGAGCTCGCCCAGGACGACCCCCTTCGACGGACGCCCCGGCTACGACCAACCCCCTCCGGACCTCGAGGACGGAGTCCCGGAGTGGGAAGTAGAGGAAATCTTGGACGCAAGGGTGAGGTATAAACGGCTGAATTACCGTCAGATGGAAAGGCTACGACGCGTCGCACGACCAGTGGGTCCGCTTCGACCGCGTCTTCGCCCGGAGAAAATCGCGGAGTTCTATCGTAAGTACCCTGGCAAGCCACGACACATCGCCTCCGCGACCTTCGACTCGATTCCGTTCCGGTCTATGCGCCGGGACGCCGCATTCAAAGGGGGGGGTGATGTCAGGGGAACCTCCCTTTCGGCCCGGAGACGCGCCCGATTCCGGTCCGACTCCGGTTCCGACTCCGGTCCGGCCCTCCATCTCGCCCGCACAATCACCGATCCGTCAACGCCCTCCCGACGGTCGCCCTGGGACCTCGCCTGCGACGCCGCCCAAGCCTTCTGTGCCCGACAGCGGCAGCTACGGACAAGCAGTATATAGTCAGCTACCTAGCAGGCGGACCCTTAGAGTTTCTTCTCTTTGGATCCTCCCCTGCTAGGTCAGCTTCATTTGTATTCGCTTACCAATGTTCACGCTTTGGATCCTCCCCTGCTAGGACCTTGATCTCAGGCCTCCGGGGTTGCCCTTACAGATGCTGGGTTTATTTGCCAAATTACAGACCTTATTCTACAGTACAACAGACATTCCGAATATATCTAGCTGGCTGTGACTCACCTTGGGAAGCAGGACTTGATACTCAGATACTCCTGGCTCAAAAAGCACAACCCTGCAATTAACTGGGAAATGAAGGAGGTGAAAATGATCCACTGCCCCCATAGCTGCTCTACCTGTAGTGACGAGGAACGGACTGAGCATGCTGAGATTTGATGCCTCCGACTCCTTAAGTCACACCTACTCACCAACACCTTCCCCGCCATCTTCGCTGCTGATATTACTGGCCCAGACAATGCCAGAGACAACCTTAGGGATACTTTAGACTCTTAAAGTGTGAATAAGACTACAGGAAATACATGAAGGGACTGACCTAGCAGGGGAGGATCCATAGAGAAGAAACTCTAAGGGTCCGCCTGCTAGGGCGCCAACTATATACTGGTCGTCCGTAACTGCCGACGTAGAGCGCAGAAGGCCTGAGTGGCATTGCAGGCTCTGTCCCAAGATGATCATTGGGGGGGTCTTGACAGATTGGTGATTGTGCGGGTGAAGAAGGCCATGGACGATGGTCAGGGTGGGTTGGAGCATCTGAGGGGGCACTGGTCAGATGTGCCTCAGATGTGCTCAGAGGGTACAAAGGAGGCTGAAGCACAGTTCCCCTGACACTTATCTGTTGAGAAATGCAAATTTTATCACAGATTTTTCATTACAGGTACTATTTTTCATTACAATATGTTTGATGCATTGTGCTGGGCTTAGCGGGTGCATGATAGCAGCCTGACAGCGATGTGTCTCTCATTTGTGTGGAAAATGCAAGGAAAATGCTATCTCACCAACTCCATCATAATCATCGTTTCTTCTGCATTTTTCCATGAGAAATTCCTCGATGACAGCAAATCACACTCCCACGCTGTCACCTCTGTGACCAGGCGATCTCTGCTCTTCCCGACCGCCACAAGCCCCGAGGATGACGAGTGCCGCAGCAGCAGCCGTGCTGGAGCTGGCGGCGTTGCGCATCCGCATCGATGCGGTAGCATCGGACACCCTCGCCATCCAGCACGTGCGTTGTCGATGGCCAGTCTGTGCGCGGCTGATTCATGCCCCCAGACGCTCGACTCATATCGGGATGACCCGTTGCAGGCGGTCGCGGCGATCGACGCGCAGATGCGTGACCATGCGGCTTTACAAGAAGCCCACTTTGCGATGCAGCTCGCGCTGGAGGGCGTTGGAGGGCCAGCCCGGGACGCGAAGATGTGGATCGGGGAGCTGGAGAGGCGGCTTGCGCGGCTGGAGGTAGAGGCGGAGAGTGAGCTGAGTGAGTTGAGCGACAGTGAAGAGGAGTCAAGGACGCGGAGCGGCGTGAAGAGCCGGAATATGGTATGTTGCGTTGGTTTTCTCGGGCTGGATTGTTGCTGACGGTTGGTTCGTGGAGGCTGCAACGGCAACGAAGGCTGGGCCGTCGCGAATAGATAGTAAACGGGCAGCGACAGACCGCACCTCCCGTATGATCCAGTCTCCGCCCTCGAACAAAATCGGCACGACGAGAAGCGGGGAGAGTGAATCGGAGTCGGAGGTGGAGCAGTACACCGAGATCAGGACGAGGAGCATGAGGAAACCGAATACGGTGCGTTGTTTTGCTCTCGGCTCGCTGGAGGTGTCATGATAGACGTAGCCTACGACAATCGCCACAACGAAAAGGCCGTCGACGGACATCGGGATACAGACGAGCAGCGTGAAACGAGCAAACACCCATCCAGTGCGTGGTTACTCTTTCCTGGCCTGTTTTGAATCCGACCATCGGCGCAGACAACCGCCAGAAACAATGCCAAACGGTCAATTGCACCAAAAGCCCCAACTGCCCGGCCTCTCAGGCTCCCGGCAATCACCAACCCGCCAAGTGTGCCTCCCGGCTTCCCCAGCTGGGCGCACCTCTACAACCTTCCTCCGATGCGCATCCTCTCCGCCGCCCAAGTGCAGCTCCCCGGCGCTGTCGTTGTTCCCTCCGTTCGTCTGCTTGTTTCCGTTCCACCTGTCTTACCATTCCTTCAAGCACCCCTGCACGCGCTGTGTTCGGCTTGACGTCCCCTGCCTCGTGCTCGCTGCTTCGGCCTCAAAAGCATGTCTTGTCTGCCGCACGGGAAAGCAACACGAGGCTTGTGTCTCCGGCCTGACGGCGCAGCCACACCCCCATGCAGGTCGGTGGTCAAATCGAGTCAATGATGGATTCTGACGGGGCGGCATGGATAGACGCTGTGGCTGCATTTCATAACCACACACTTGCGATGGGCACGCGATTGGGCTTGAGGATGGGCGACGAGCCGCCGCCGGCGAATGAACTGGGAAAACGCACAGCGAGGGCGGAGGATATCGAGACGGAAAGGTTGTCGACCAAGAAGAAGAAGCGGCGCAGATGACGGTGCCGTTGCGTACAGTGTTTATCTTGTACTTGTGTTATTTACTGTTACAACCAGGGTATTGAAGCCTCTGAAATAACGCGACGAATGCATTAAACGCAAGAGTGACGATGACAAGCTCGCCCAATCGCAGTGTCGTTGACTGCCCAGATAGAAGAACCTAGCATGGTCATTGGCCTCTCGGATTGCTGGTTGGCCATGACGGCTCAGGGCACGGGGCATACAGGACTCAACATACTAGAAGAAGAAATCCGAAAGCAATATTATATATGACATTGCTCGCAATCGCTTTTGCTGCTTCAGGATTACTTATTGTCGCCGCAAATTGGCCGCAAACTATTCAATAATCAACTGAGAGTCCTAAGTGAAAGTTCTGAAACTTGAAGGCCTAGGCGTTGAACAATTCCACTTGTTAAATTTATGGTCCTCAATGGCAAGCAGGTGATAGAGGAACTTGCCAATTACCCGTATGATTACTTCTTCGTGGCTATTTACTAAGAAACTCTCCAGGCTAATCCTTACGGAAGGATATATCCGTGGCCAACAAGGGGAGTGCAAGACTGGCATTGTTGAACTTGTGGCCCATAATTACTGCGATCCTGATATCGGGAATAGATATGGTAAATGATGAACTTAGCGGTAATGGGCAAAGGAAATACTGTACTATTCCAATCAATTAGTCCTGTCACGGTCACATTGACTTTTTTGGCTGAAAATTTTCTGCCTGTCACAGGTCACAGTGAATTTCTTTGGTCCCAAACCGTCCCAAAATGGTAATTTCCAAAAAGTTCCACCCCTATGGCGCGCAGAACTTCCATATATAGCAGGAGGTCACACCAAATTCAGCCCTTGGCTGAATTGCACATTTCTGCCACATGTGTCACAGGTCACAGGCCCGCAGAATTGAATGAAATAGTACAGTACAGCAACGAAACAGGCCAATACGTACTTCTATTGTGGGTAATGATTTTACCTTTGTTCAAAGTTTGTGGTGATTGTCCCAAAGCGACATTAATAATATTGGCCCAAGATTAGAGCGCAGCGTTGCAATTGGATAGGGTGTGTTTGAGTTGACTGTGGACGAACGGGGGGCAGGCTGCAAAAATAGATATGATTATGGGATCAAATGAGAGGGATTCTATCAGAAATATCAAAACAAGATTTATGAGTCCGGAAGTGTTCTCGTCGGCTTGCACAGATGCTATCGGAATTCGTCAGCGCCGCTAACCTAGCGCGGGACAAGCAATCAACTCACATTATATTCCAGCGCATGCAGCGTCACCTCCGTCTGCTCCTCGCAATCCCAACCATCGGGACAATCCGGTGGAGGCGTCCATCTGCTCGCGTCTACCTCTTATCAGCTCCTGGGCCTGTCCGAATCCAAAAATTCACGCACCGGTGCACTTCTCGCGGAGCAGCCAAGGCACGGCGTTCTCCTTGATGAACGTCTCGAGGCATCCGGTGCACATTTTTGTGGGAGCGGCTATGCTCGCGAGGACGCGCGCGGCGGAGAAGGACGGCAGGGCCGTGATGTCGCCGAGCCACTCCATCTCGGTGATGTTTTCGCTCAGCCGGCCGGGCATGTACGTTCGGAGGGGGAGGTCAATGGCTGGCCAATCTAGTCAGGGCGCCAGTGTGAGTTAGAACTAGACAGGTGGACGTTCTTACCTTCAGATAGCCATAGTTTCGCTGTTTGATGTTCGCATTCAGGGCCTGGAAAGATACATAAATACCAGGGAAGTCCGAGAGAACGTACATTTGACGGTTTCTTCGTCCTCAAAATTGAGTAACACGCCGTTAAATGCGTCGCTTGTGCGCGGCGGCGCATCTAGGCCTCTCGTAGTGCCCACTGTCCTCAATGGGCCGTCGAAGAACTCGCCAAGCAGCGGGATAGCGTCATTCCCGTCCCACAGCGTGACTCCGAGGCGGTCGACGATCTCCTCGCCGTCCCCGGTTGCGATTACCAAGGGGCCAGTCGATGCGAGAGTGTCGTTCCGCCCTACAGACGTGCTGTAGTTATAATCCATGAAGAATTGGTCAACGCACCTCTGTGTTCCACGTCGTCCTCGCCGTCGAACAACTCGGCCTTTTGAACAAGGTCCAATGCCTCATTGCGAAGAAATACGACCCCCGCCGCAAAAGACTTCAGCCCAGCTGTGTCGAGTGTGTCCATCCACGTGGCTCGCCGGCGGAGAATGTCATCCCGCTCCGCGTTGTCCTCTTGCATGTCCCGGACATGGTCGTACTCGGTCGGCATCTGGAATGCAGCGCAGTACTTACTGCACAATGCGGTACATCGCGTGTCGGAAGCGCGTCGATTCATGGGTGGTGAGAATGGAGACCGCGGACAGCGGGGACTTGTACCTGCGGCTAATCGTCACAAACGGGCGGCTACGAGAATTATTTTAAAGCACGCACCGCCGACTGAACGTAGCCTCCAGTTTCTCCACTGCCCGCGCGTTCTCTAAGAGTGTCTTGCTCTCCTCTTGCGTAAGTGTCTCCACGTCCATCTCTCGGGTGTCTCGCTCCCGCCACGTAGCATCAACACATGCGAGTGCATCGCTCAGCCCCACGTCCCCGCACCCGAGTATATTCACCAGCACAGCCCGTAGGACAGACCGGCGCCGCCCCACAAACACCGCATGCCAAGCCTTGCAGACGAGCACCTGAGAAACCAAGTCTATAAACGACGCCGCGTGCCGCAGAGTGGCGTCTAACAAGTCCGGCGGGAGCATGACGGAAGAGAGAGGGAAAGAAGGTGCGCGTCTGATGCCAAGTTTTTTTGGTTGTCGTCCAATTGATGCGAGCTTATTTTTGGCATCTCCGGAGATTGATGCGAGGAGATGCGAGGTTGTAGATACGAAGGCTGTTATCATTCCGCTGCCCAATATAGAAAAGCTGTACTACAGCCGATCATTCACAGCACTTCACATATATTAATCTAGGGACACTGTTGCTCTCTACCACCATGTCCACCCAGTTCCAGAGGCTCAAACACAGCTGGCTAGGGAAGTATACTCCGAGTCCTGTGCTCTCCCAATAAGAATAGAGATGCTCATATCTGATACAGGGAGGCTTTTCAAGTTAAAGCTTCAGAAGACATCTGCACAGTGCTCAGACAGTCTTTGTCTCAAGACCCCACAGAAGGGTGCCTATGCAAATGCAGAGCTTGTCCTATATCCCCAAGAAATCAAGTTTGAACAGGCTCCCACAAACAAGACACATAACATTCACCTACCTATCAACCAACTTCCTGCTGAGGTTCTTCTGAACATATTCCTTCTCAATAGGGACAACACATATATAGGTGATTATAGCTGGATATCCCCAAGCCAAGTCTGTGCATATTGGAGACATGTTACTGTGAGCAGTCCTATATTTTGGGCTGTGACAAACTTTTCCAATGAAGCCTGGGTAAACCTGTCACTGGAGCGCTCCTTCTCAGCACCGGTCCATGTCTGTGTAAATCTTGCTCAAGTAGATGCAAGCCTGGTCAAAAGAGTTCTAGAACAGAAGGATCAAGCAATACAATTGATTTGCCTCAATGGAAATCAGCTTGACATACCTCTCTTTGAACTTATAGCCAACCATTCAAAGAGCTTGCAGCATCTGATTATAGATCACAGAATGACACCAGATGGTTTCCGTGCAATTCGTGCTGAACAGCACAATAGGATTGCACTTCCTCAATTGAAGCACCTTCAAATTGCTGAGCACTGGACTAGATGGCTCTACTCGCCTAATGTAACCTCCCTCATATTAAGCTGTATCATTGATTCTGGTGAAGAAAACCGGGATACTGATTGGCTAGACTTTACATCTGCACTTATGTCTCTCCCAAAGCTTATTCATTTGGAGATAGATGAGATTCCTGACTGGGAGACTGTTCCAGTTGGCAAACTCCACCTTGAATGCTTAGAAAGCCTTGCATTGGCCTCAGACACTCCTCAGCATATAACTTTATTTTTGGAAGCCAGTCTACTTCCAAATCTCAGCAAATGTGAGATTGCCGTGACTGATGAGTATAATGTAGACAACATTGAGTCTATGATTAATAGAGTATTAGGCCAAACAGCTCACTCACAACCACTGAATTGGCTCAGTTTAGGACAAGAGTTCTATGGAAGAGGCAATCCAAGAAGCAAATTCAGTCTACGGCATTATCCAGTGGCATGGGAGGGTATACAGATTAGATTTGGACAGGGGAAGCTACAAGCTTCATCTGTTGTAACATCCTCTCCATCTGTGATAATTGGATGGACATGTAGAATAGATCTGAGAGTGAAATCTGAAATATTTATCTCTCTAGCAGGTGTTCAAGCAGTAAATCACATTGAATATTTGGAATTGATATGCTGGGCAGCATTTTCTCAACATGCATGGAGTTATGTAGCTGTTAAACTATCTAATGTGAAATATATATATGCAGCTTATACTCCACCTGCCCAGCTATTCTGGCATCTTCTGTCTTGTCACAAAAGGGACAATAGAGTGATGCCAAACTTGATATCAATTGTGTTTTGCAAAATTAACCTATCACATGGTGGTTACACCTCTGGTTTTGGATGTAATGAATATATTTCTCCGTATGATCTTGATGGAACCCGGTTTATTGAATTATTCAATACTTTTCTTGAATATCAAGGCATAGAATACTTGGGTATGGAGTTATGTCATGGGCATACCTGGCTGGAAGTGAAGCTTCTACAAAGTCATGTGAAGAATGTATGGTGGGATGGCTATGGAAATATTGAACCATCATATATCTTGTCCCAATATTTTGATCCATATGGAGCTGTAACAATCAACCACCATCTGATGGACAATGGAGAAACATTTAGGGAATATATAAAGGTAACACAGAGACAGTGGCCAGCTATTCAACAACAGAAATGGCTTCATATTAGAAGATGATCCAATGATGATAACCATATTATATATATATATCTTTGCTCAAGTAAAAATTCTAAGCTTAGGATTATGTAGGATTGTAAACAAGTAAGCTATAGTAGATATCAACCATGCCATCTTATTACACCACCAAAGTGTCCACAGCTGTCAATCAGCTGGACATTCCAGCTGGTTTCCACATAACTCAACATCTGGGTCCAGGTGGTTTCCAGCTGAATTCCAGCAGTTCTGCTCAGCTGGAAATTCCAGCTGGAATCCAGATGACATGATTGTCTATATCCTAGCCCTTCTCCCACATAAACTTTTTTTTTTTTACTTCTTTGAAATCTGTAGAACATTGACCAAATTTGCCATTTCTAGTAGATGCCAACCAAATAGTCAATACAGACAAGAAACAAATCAATCACAAACACAATAAACCATGAGATTCTTTAGGGCCGGCATAGACAGCACTGAACTTACACTGACCAACTGAACACTTGTTACGATCAACAATCGAGCGCCCAGTGCCACACGTCGACTGGGATTTGATCCGGTTCCTAATTCAGGCAAGGAAAATTTTCCGTCACACTCATCCCTTCTTCCTTTTTCCCTCCTCCTCCAGACTGAGCACCTCACACAGCCAGGGTGGAGGTCGGAGAGTTCGGGCGCCTGAACCAAAGGCAAGTGTCTCCCGCCTCTGCATGCTTCCCTGACCCACGCATCCGTCAAGTGTGGCCCTGGCCACCCAAGCATGCCCCACCTCAAGATACGCTTGCCCGCCCAACGGTTTGGCCCTCCCAATCTACCTACAGTGGTCTACAATGCTGACTACTCCCTTCAGAGCTGTACTGACCGCCTCTGCGCGCCTCCCTGACCCACGCGTCCACCAAGTGCGGCCCAGGCCACCGATGCGCGGCTATGAACGGCACTGCCACGCTTGCCTGCCCAACGGTGTTTGCATCGACAGTTGCGGAGCCAATCATCTTTACCTACCATGCGTCTGTCCCCCAATCTGTCCCCACCGCTGACCTCCCACGCAGTCTGTGCCAACTCCTCGTGAGGTCCCCGCTGCTCTCGAGCCCATCACCGACGAGGAGGCCGTCCACAGAGGCCGTCCGCGGCCTTCTGCATGGCTGCGGTGAGCAGGGTCTTGAAGGTGGCTGCTTGGGCGGGTGTGTGGTGCATCGGGTCGGGGAGGATGAACCCGATCAAGCGGATGGTGGCGGCCTGCATGGCATTTCACTCTGTAGCTTGGCCTGGGAAGAGCGGGGCTGGGGGGCGTTAGCGGGGAGGGAAAGGGGGGACAAACTGGCAAGGGCACCCAAGACGACCATCGCGCAGAGGAGAAGGACCTTGGTATTCCTGTACATAATATATTGGCAATAATATATCTTTTTTCTATCTAATATTTCCATAAAGTGAGCATTAAGTACCAGGGGGACAGGTTGTGTTGCTACCAGAGAAAACATACAATATACATCAGGATTTCCAGCTGGCACCTAGACATTCTGGACCCAGCATGGATCCATTTGCGACCAAACATGGAAACCATGCGGCGCTGATCCGGGAATCAGCCAGGTATCACATGTGTCCACCGGGGATCTTCCAGCCCTAATACAGCTGGAATCCCATTGGTAGTGTAGTTAAGAAAGGAATAGGCCAGATGGCTATATTGATTTTTTGGTTCACCTAAATAGTAAAATCTTCATGGCTCTTCCAGCACTTTATTACCCTTTTTTTTGTTTAAAAAAAAACAAATTATTATCTGATGTTTCTAACTTTGTTTTAGTCCATTTTGAGAGGGCAATATAAAAGCAAATATATCTCTGTGAGTTCTCATGACTTATGATTATGAATATCTTGTTAAGCCACTCATAAATTTCCTAATAAAATTCAATTTAAAAGCTTTCGTTTCCTTTTTTTATTTTATTGTAAAACATGAATTGAAGAGACATACCTGAAGACATATTTTAATACAGAAGCAATATGATATATCTGTTGTTTTATAGATGATTTTCTGTCAACGTCGGGCTCGGGCCGTATCGGGGCGTCGGGGGGGGTCCGACTTCGAAGGGGTCTGAGGAGCACGAGGGATGGGTATTCGCCCGGAGAATAGACGATATTAGCCTAGCGACTACATCTTGTAAGTACGGTTTTTATACGCTACGATATTAGGGATGGATCGGATGGGCGCCAGGTCCCAGGGCGGATCGGATGGGCGCTGCGTAGGGCCGCAGGGGTGAAGGGAAGGGGTTGGAAGAATGAGGGAACGTCGAGGAGGACGGCGGTATGCGGGGCCCATGCGGGCCCGTGCGGCCTTATGGCCCGGACGGCCCAACCCGAACCGTGACATCACCCCCCTCCGTTGTGGGCGGTGCCTCGACGCCCTATGGGTCCTTGTTCCCTGGTCTTGCTTTCGGATCTTCCATC